AAATGGCATCCTTACGTATTCGTAGTGACCGTTTTCGACATTGAAGTCTGTCTTCGGTATATCTCGTTTGGCCATCTCAATTTGATGGAAGCCGCTTGCAAGGTCCAATGTTGTGAAATATTGGCATCTTCCGAGCTTATCCAATACATCCGTGATGTTCGGGAGGAGATATCCGTCATCGATGGTCTTCTCGTTCACCTTCCTATAGTCCACTACGATGCGCCATTTAATTTTTCCAGAGGCATATGGTTTTTTGGGGACCACCCAAATTGGTGATGACCATGATGATTCAATAGGTCGTATGATGCCTTGTTCGAGTATGGACATAATTTGCTTCTGAACCTCGGGTTTGTGCACATGTGGGTATCTGTACGACTTCGTATAGACGGGTATTTCGTCTTCAGTTTTTGTCCTATGTTTCACCTGATTTGTGAAAGATAACGGTGTATCGGGTTTATGGAAAATATTTGTAAATTTCCTGCAAAGTCTATTAATCTGTTCTTTCTGAATTCATGTGGTCAGTACGAATTAGAGTTTCGATATCAATCTGCTCATTTTCGATTGGAGAAAAATCTGCTGAATATAGTTGGTATTCTCCCAAATTTATCGAATTTGTCTGGATTGGTTCTGAAAATGCAAGTAGAAGTTCTTCGTCGGTATTATTGATCAATTCAGCCCATGCTAATCGATTGCACGATGTAGACATAGTTTCTCGCAGTATAGCACCTTGAATATTCTGTCTTGGAAGTACTATCGTTCCATCTTCTTTTTTCACGGGTAATCCCACTCTGGTTATGGTATGTGGTTCGGGTTGGATTGAATAAAAATGATCTTTACTGGTTTCCTAGTGTTCGATAGGGTGTGTCGAAAATTGGGTGATTAATTTGAAATCCGCAAAATTCAAATATGCTTGCATTAATTTCAAGTTGTCCAGCCCTATTAGACCATCAAATGTTTTGTGAAATTTGAATAGGTAAAACTTAAGCTTGCAATCACATTTAATTTCTTGGAAACTTGGAATTTCAGCTGAATTTTCTTGGAAGTAATTTTGAAAAATCGATGTGACTACAAATGGTTCATGTTTGATGTTGTCTCTATAATTTCTGAAGGCAATCTCTAGATTAAGAAATGATTTCGTTGATCCTGTGTCGACTAGTAATTCCAAAGGAGGTTTGGCAATAGTTATAAATAGGAGTTCTTTTTTATCGGCAAAAGTATGTAATTCTACTATATTTCGATTGGTGGATCGTCTTCCTGATTCAGGTTGTTCATCGGGTTGGTACTCTTCTTCTGGGAATGTTTCGTAGCAATCATACGAGAGTTTTTCAAAATATTGGTTTTGTTGTTCAATATTGAAAAGTTCCTCTGACGTAAATGTGGGTCTTGATTGGGGTTTGCACGTTGGAGATCGTCTGGTTTGTATTGGTTGGAACGTATTTCTTGTAGTGATACTCATCGGCGTTGGCTGTGGCTGAGAGGTTCCTTGATTGTGTCGATTAGTCCATACATTTTGGGATCTGTTTTCCTGTCTGCCAAAAACTTGTTGATTGGTTAAAAAACGCTGTGTTGGAAGGTTCGGTCTGAGTGTGATGGCTATCGAACCTCGCGGAAATTGGTGTTGGGACGATTGCGGGCTTTGCCACCCTTGTTCACGCCCTGTATATTGTACGGAAAGCATCGAATTGTATTGTGGCCTAGAAAATCTCTGCATTTGCAGCTGCATTGGTTTTCTGTTAGGCATGTTCGGTGATGGACCTCTTCTTGTATAAACTGTAAAGCGATTGCCAAATTTCCTGGTCTCATTGCCCGTATATAGTTGAACCTGAAGGTTCCTTCAAGCCTGCCAAAAACGTTGTCAAAGTTTGTTGGCGGAAGAAATCCTTCTCACTATTGTCAACTACGGGGTTGTCATCATGGACTTTAATGTAATTACTTATAGTATTAAGAATTCCCATACATTTTTCGTGGAATTGGAATGCGGTCTCGTTCTGTTGCTGTCTCATGTCAACAAGATCTCGAGTCAGGCTGTTTTCATCTCGTTGATAAGAAAAGTTCTGAATTAACGTATGTTTAATGTCGTTCAATTAATCACATCCGTGAATAGAAACGACTTCTTTTGCTCGCCCTGTTAGTTTGCCTACGATTCCAGTTAGCAGGAGAATATTTTGTAGGCAACCGGCATTTGCAGGTGTTGGATCGTAATAATAATTTAGAAGTGTCGACGCTACTTTAATGGAACTATACAGTTCATTAGGATTAACATCGAAAGTTGGCAAAATGCACAAATTTATGACGTCGAACACTGGTCTCGACATGATTTCAGGTGGAGTTATAATAATATTCGGATTTTCGAGTGGAGTGATACTCGAATTATCGACAGAAGTAATATTCAAATTTGAGAGTGATAAAATTAAACCTAGCTCTGCACTAGGGTCACTTAAAGAAATAGAAACAGAGCTGCGATGCTGCCTCCTTTGGACGTGGTTCTTTTTGCGGATACGGGAATAAACGTTTGAAAACGAAGAGGATATTTTTCACAGACTCTCTCGCGTATCCGACCTACTGCGCCAATTAAATATATACACCGTGTCCCAGCTAAAATGTCCCCCCCTGTAAAAAGTCAACCGCGCAATCGAATGACTTGAAATTTGGTCACCCAGTATATTTGATGATGCTCACTCGAAATATGCTATTGAATAAATCCTAGGTATACAGGGTCACACCGAAGTGCACCTCAACTTTCTTATTTGAATAGGGACACCCAGTATATTATTCCATATTCAAGTAGAGTTCATTTTTAGAAATTCAACAATGCCGGGTTTGATGGGATTTTTTCAAACGACTATGAAGATATGGCAAAAAATAGTACGATTCAATGAAAAAATTATTTGATTAGATTTTATCAATATAACACGATTGAAATTAATGATGGGTGTCCTGCACATAACTACATACCCGTGAAGGATTATCTTCGCCATCGGTTTGGAGAAAATCTAATAACCACCAATTGTCTCGATGGTGATAGCAACTGGCCAGCTCGACCGCCAGACCTCACCCCACTTGATTTTTATTTGTGGGTCTACTTGAAACAACAGCTTCATGAGTCGCCAATTGTGAATATGGAAGAAATGAAAGAGAAAATCACAAATTTATGCGCAAAAATTGATCGCAACATGATACATAGGTTATCAAAAGAGCTAGGAAATGTTTACAGCAGAATGGACGACATATTGAGCAGTTGAGGTTTAATTTTTTTTCATTCGATTTCAATCATGTTATATTAATAAAATCTAATCCTATAAATTTTCATTTACGACTAATATATAATATAAGTATTAAACTTGTGGTTCTTGAAGTATAATGCCATATATTAATCCCTTAGGGAATAATGGCGAGGGATTAATAGTCTTTATTCCCTCTTGTACTCCTATCACAAAATTTCTCAAATTAAATAATACCATGGAAACAATATAACCAAACTCAAAAGTGTCAGTGTCAAACGCGTAGTGTTTGTGTATTTATATTAAAATGATCAGAATGTTACTCCATCGCCGCCACCGCGGCTCGGTTCGTAAAAATTCCTCGAGAATGATAGCTATCATTATTGACTCGTGGTATAATCTACTATTGTTGAATCGTTTTATTTTTTACCATATCTTCGTAGTAGTTTGAAAAAATCCCATCAAACCCGGCATTGTTGATTTTGTGATAATGAACTCTACTTGAATATGGAATAATATACTGGGTGTCCCTATTCAAATAGGGAAGTTTAGGTGCACATCGATGTTACCCTGTATACCTACGATTTATTCAATTGCATATTTCGAGTGAGCATCATCAAATATACTGGGTGACCAAATTTCAAGTCATTCGATCGTGCGGTTGATTTTTTAAAGGAGGGGACATTTTAGCTGGGACACGGTGTATTTCGTAAAAAATCGTTCTTAAAAAGATTCATTTTATTACCAAAACACGAATTACAATATAAGTTGAAGTTGATGGATCGAGATATAAAGTCAGACTAAATTGTACATGGTGATGGGAAATGAGCTAAACTCGGTGGAACTGGCATTCTCACGGCGGTCTCCTATCTCGCTGACTCGGTGGATTCTTCAAGATGTAACTCGCAGGAAAACAAAAAAATAAAAAATATAATCCATTAAAGATCCCCTATCATGTCTGCAAATGCTGAATAGGCGGAGTATCAGCAAAAAGCTGTTTTTCAACTCAACCTTCGTGAACAAAACAAAAAAGAAGCATTTTTGATCAAGTGAAAACAAAAAAGACAAAAGAGGTTATCATGGATTAACACATTAGTTACTAATGATAATAACAACAATGACGACAATAATGATAGTGACAGCAGTAATAATAATGATAGT